CTTCCTAGGATTTTTGAGCTTTGACGACGATAACCGAGCTGTGAAAAATGAATATTTTTGGTATCAACATTGCCAATCAAATGAGTCTAAAGTTTCAGTCATCATACCACGTCTTGCAACGTCAAAAAAATATCCACACCCACTATTGGAGACTATATACAAATCCCAATATATTTATGAGTGCAACCCTTGCGAGTTTTTTTCAAGTTCACTGTAGAGTAAAATGAACTACCTACTTTGGAGGTCCGGTGTTGCAGCTTGAGTTTGGTAGTGCGTCAATGCAGCTCGCCAATCCCCGATTTCGGCGCTGGTTCCATGCCACGAAAATTGCGAAATCCGCACAAATTTATACATCACATAAAGGTTTTGTTCCAATAAATATATGTTATTGCTGGTAGCTCAGCGGTAGAGCCTCAGGTTCGTAGTTGAAAGATCCCGAGTTCTAATCCGGCTTTTACACTATTTTTTAATATTAGCAATTTTAACCACACACCTCGACGACACTCAGGCGATCATTAGGCGAATGGATTTCTCGAAGGTTATCTTTATCGACCCACCAAGGTAGGTTGGGCTCGAAGGAACTGATGGCGGTATTGGTCCCATGTAATAGTCGTTCTGGAGGTCCGATATGCATCCAGAGCCACTACTACACGGGTCCAATACAGCGACAGCCCTTGTTAGGATATGTGATTGGTCTGCGTTGATGATATTCTTGGGGCCGTGGGCCACTAGTGAAGTAGAGGGATGACTTGAAGGCGATAGAAGTGGTTAGAATTGCCCAAGATCATGGACTCAGTGTGCGTTAATCGTCAACGCAATTGGTCCTTAGATGTGCATGTACCCCTGTGTTCGAGGTAGTACCTCCAATCCCGTCGAGGTCGTACCTCCAATCCCTGTTCCTTTGACGCTTGGCATTGGTCTGATTGTTCAACTACATAGGGCAGGATTCACCGGTGCTTGTTTCAAATGACCATATCATGCTGTTCGGCATGCGTCGTCTTTGTGTTCTGATTGCTTAAAAGCGGCCATGACAGAAGGCTGCAGTATCATTTATTCATCGATTTTCGCTTACCGTGTGATCGTTTGGCATAAGGAAAATATATATTTATCGGCCTACCAAGGTAGGTCAGGCACGGAGGGATGACTGATGCGGTTTTCCACCAGTGTAGTAGTGGTTCTGGAGATCCAATAAGTCTATCAGAACCACCACTACGAGGAATCAATTGCGATATATACGTTGCTAGGATGTGTGATTGGTCTGCGTTGGTGGTGCTCCAGGGGGCGTTGCCATTTGTGGACTATGAGGGTCACTTAATAGTGGTTGGGATTGGAGAGACATAGCTGTAGCAACACTATTCTCTTGGTCCTCCAATACCCATGAGTTCCTTTGAGTATGAATTGGCTTGCTTACTCATTAGGGTACATTTTTAACTGTATTTCCTGGTACTAGTAGTTTAAGGGGCCATATCATGCTGTTTGGCGTTGGTCATCTTGTTGCTATGGCTAAATTGCTACTATGACAAGGGTGTACCTGACTATCATCCATAGGCTTTCAGCACCGACCTGCACTTGATGTGGGATATCGTAGCGATCACGAAATGGTGGAAGGATCGTACTTGTGTGAAAAAGGTTCATGGAGGTCGACCCTTGATGGAACATTCATCAGTGATGGCGCATGTAGAGGTCAATGACGTTAGCGGTTGAACTTTGAATGATATATCATGGCTATTGCGACTACTGGCGCCAAGGATCGAACATGCAACGATCGCTGTCGATGAAGGTCGAGCCATGCGATCTACTATGGCTCAACTTCCGTCGACAGTGATCGTTCAGGTAGTGTACATGCTCGTTACATGCCCACAGTCGTAGCCGAAAAGATGGTACGTCGGTGATTTGGAGGGCCTCAAATTGGGGACAGAATACAGCACAATGAATTTGCATATGGGGAAATAATCCTACCAGTTCAATACTGGGGGGGGGCGTCGGCTCCGAGTATCGTTTGCAGCACTTCATGTGGCTACGAATGGCGGCATGGATCGAGCATGTAACGATCATTGTCGATGGAGGTCGAGCCATATATGACCCGTCATGGGTCAATTGTAGTCCATACATGATATATCATGGCGTGGACCAAGCTCTGAAGTTACTGTTGTCACGTGCTTTATTGGAGCTCGCACTAAGCTATAGATCGAACCTACGAACACTTGAGTGCAGCAATATCAAGTCGAATTAGTTAATCGTCAACTCTATTGGCCCAACGCGTACTTGTCTCAATCCTTGTGGTCGAGGTCGACCCCCCAATTCACATACTCGATACTGCCTTTGACTCTTGGTTTTGGTGTGCGAACGATTGATCCTCCTATTTCATTTAGATAACTGAATATTGCATTTAGGAGCTCCTAATCCATGCCTTTGTACTCCCTTGTACAAACTACTCTAGCCGTAAGCTACAACGTCATGTATGGTTGACATACAGTATGCTACACCGCCAGGTGTCCCTCCGTGCCTAACGCAAACTCTGGTGTTTCATTCATTAACCCTTCGGCATGTATACAATCGCCGATTTGCTCCAGTAAGTGTGACGACCCGCACGTTTGGCCCCACATCACCTTGTTTCGAAGCAGTGGTAAAAATAGAAATGGTACAAAAATGCAAACACTGTATAAAACTCCCGACTCGAACTCGGGACCTTTGGGTTAAGAACCTGACGCGCTACCACTGAACTAATGTTACATCATAAAATAATACGAAAACCATTCCTTATTTGGTTCGATAGTGAGAAGTCAGTTCCCGATAATTCATGCCGCGGACCAAGCCGTGAAGTCATGGTCAAGGTATGCTTCATTGGAGCACACGAAGCTAAAGAGCGAACCAACGAACATTTGAGTACAGCAATATCAAGTATAATGAGTTAATCGTCAACCCTAATTGCCCAACGTGTACTAGTCTTCATCCTTAAGGCCGAGGTCAGCCCTCGTAGTGTTGCGTATTACCTTATGCATTGTCCCTATGCATTGCAACATCATTCGAAGCGCGACATTTGGAAATGACTGGTGGCTAGAACCGGGCGCAGCGAAAGAAGTCGGCAGAGTTCGACGCATGTATAATCGGACATGCGTCAATCTTCATCGACATCGTTCGCTGCGCAAATAGCGCAATCACTGCACACAGTCGACGCCAAACGTCGCACTGCTTGACCCGCTGTGATGTCAAGTTACCTCTACAACATAAAATCAGAGACTGGCATGATGATTATATAGATGGAAGTTCTGAATGGTACCTCTTCCCGGTCGGAATCCAAAACGATGCTATTGGATGGGCTTGAACAGTATTCACAACCAACGTGCATTTGAACCATCTTGTGGTTAAATTGGCGACAAAGATCGCGCATGTGGAGCAGCGTCCATGGAGATCGTGCCATGGTGGATCCATCTTTGGAGGACCCCCATGGACACGGCTCAACATGCGCGATCGATATCGACCATCATTTCCACGCCACTTCGCTTCGCGCTGCTAAAGGTAGTTGGAGGGCCTCCTAAGGCGTCAAATCGGAGGCAGCATTAGATGAGTGTGCATGGGGACCAATAATCATACCAGTCCCGAATCGGTGGAAGTTGAAAATGATGAAAAGGGAGCGTGCAACATGGGAAAATTGGGATTTACCTCGTCCCACATAAAATAAACATTTTGGAGACTTTCCCTTTGTGGGGGTCTCTTGCACAACATCTATTTTGCCCCCCCCCATGCCGATTTCGGCTTCACGATTCGCTTGATATCATATATCCGGAATACTGTAGCATTTTATTCTAGATTCCTGTATACATAGAGGTTTTGTTCATTTAGTGACCGGGTTGTCGCCCAACCCGGGGAAGGATGTTGGTCAACGCCCCTTCCCACGTTTTCCACCGGATACTAAGGTGAGACGAATAAGCAAGCATTAATTAGAGAGCGTAGTCCCCGCTCAATTGACGTGTCCAATTGAGGTCCATGGGATTTACCTGTCGAATCCTATGTAATGCCTACATTCGGATAACCTTTTTAATGTAATGTATGCGACAAAATGTTTTGACTTCGAATAACCATCATAAAATAATGCTTGCGAAAGGATGTCGTGTCTTCAAATAACCTTCTCAAAGTAATGAATGCATTACATGTGGAAAGGTTTGAAAGCCTGCACCGTGAACAAGGAAACGTAATCATTCCGCCTGTTTAATAGTGGTATTAACAGTGGTACTCACCCATTTAACAGTGGTAGAAATCGTTAACGTTTTTCAGCTTAATTTGCAAAGTATTCAGCTTTCCTTAACGTTTTTCCTGTCTTGCCCTTGCCCGGCTTGTGTAAGTCGGACCAGAGTCTGGTCCGAAATCTTAGTTCAATTGTTTTCAAACTTTCGGCGTTTTCCTAAATCTTGTACTTTATTGCTTCTATTGGTGCAATAGAAAACTGGTGATCTCGTCGTTGATTTCGTTGACCATATGATTCATCGTGGTTAATTGAGTTTGGATTATCATTTTTAAGACATTCCTCCGCGAGGGCCGACACTAGAACCACATGTTGTGGAACCGCTTCGCCAATTGTAACGCGCCTGCTCGACCAGGGGCGGTGTGTAATCTTCGGTTTTTACTTCGCTCAACGCTTCATACCTCGTGCTTCGACCGATCTTCTTCGAAGTTCGGTCCTCGTCTTCGTACGCGGCCCTTGTTATCCGGATTCCCCAGGGCAGGGATGGATAAATCCTTGCGGAAATAATCCGGGGAATCCGGGGATCGAACCCACGACCTTTGAGTTAAGAAACCGATGCTCTACCACCTGAGCTATGACTGGACCAAGTACATGCGTTTTGTTCGACGAGCGTGTCGTGCACCAACACCGGTTCAAGGCGACGTCTGGCTTCGACTCATCCTTCACATGCTTCCCGTCAACAGCCGGTTTGCCTACAAGCAACTCACCGACCCTGAAGCCATTACATGCGTTTATGGATGCGGTAATGTCGAAACCGAGCATCATGCCTTCCACACGTGCAATGAAGTCTTTCCGACATGGCAATTTCACGCGGTAATGTCGAAACCGAGCATCATGCCTTCAACACGTGCAATGAAGTCTTTCCGACATGGCAATTTCACGCAAGAGCCTGGCGTTGGTTTGGGGTTCATTTTGACTGGGCCACCATCTCCAACATTGACTCGTTCAATGTCAGCCCGACTTGCGCTGCAAACAAACCTGCGCTGTTCAAGCTATGGACACTGCTCACAGCATCAGTTCTGCACACGATCTGGACACAGCACAACGCCATCAAGTACGACGACAAGACACCCTGGCCACAACGCGTCTGGGAAGAAACAACTTTCATCGGCTGGATGGCGGCAGTACGGCGTTGGCTCCGACTTCAAGATCCAACCGACGCACTTCGCATCAACGTGCTTGCGCAACTGGCAAAACTCAAGCGTCAGCGCCCGTACAACACGCTCTGGCTCAAGTATCCCAACTGCTTGATCCTCGAATTTTCAGCTCGCACTCCTTAGCGCTTCAAGCACCCTATTTATTCAAGACCCAAAACCACTGTGCTCCAATTCCAAGTAGGACGTACCTTCTCTGGCAATCGGATTCGGGATGAGCCCTCGGGCAACATTAGTATTGATAGCGATATTAGTTATTAATATACCTCCCCTTTGACAGTGAGCTATTACCCCCCCCTTATGATTCATCGTGGTTCCCAAGATATGACCTGCCAATTCCGTCGGGTCGTTTACGAAAACTTAATTCATCGAGTGTGCAATCAAAGTTTGTGTTATCGCGTACACTCGGAGTCTTACAGCTTTCTCGTACCTAAAAGGACATCCTTGCATACAAACTGACGTTGTTGACACCACCGTTGTATTTCTGCGCCTGTCTGAGCTGCTAGGTAGGCGAGCGCTGCGTCATGCTAGGATACTTCCTAAGGATGCCTGTCAACGCGCATCTCTCGGTGATACTTTCCAATGGTGTATATCTACAAGTCATTCATTGAAGGCGAGCCTGTATCTTACGTCTGGGCTCCCATACAAAGCTCATGGCGCCACGGCGATTGCCGGTACAGCCTTCACGCCCAATTTGGGGACTCGCACTTGAAGTATACCCAGCTCAAGCACACTCCAGCCCTCCAAAAGCACCACAAAGCTGCTATTGTATAATTAGAAATCTCACCACTGTACTTATTTGTGCAATAAATTCTCAATTCAGGCGTCCTGATTGGCTGTTGTAAGGTATCTCACAATTCCTTTCCCCATTAAAGGTACAGTTTTGAAGGTAGGGTATACCTGCTGTGGGCGAATTAGTCCTTGGGAGGAATATATTTTCTGGTCGGCGAGAAGAAATTCAACTTGGATGGCCCTGACGCTGCAAGCACATCTGGCATGACATTCGAGTTAATCCGAAGTCGTATTCGACCCGGCTCAGTGGCGGTGGCGGCATAATGGTTTGTGGTGGGTTTTTGCAGTCAAGGCAAGCTCGATCTGATCTTCCTCCATGGTTCCCAGAAATCCGACGACTAAGTGAAAACGTTGTCCAAGCATCTCCTGCCCTTTTTCATAAGCACAACCGCACTAACCTATCATTTATGTAAGACGGAGCAGCTATTCACCGGCCGAGAATGTCGATGGTGTTTTTGGAGGAGCAAGGCATCCACATGTTTGAGTATCTTGAGCTGCCCCCACCTGAATCCGATTGAAAACGTGTGGGGCATGATGATGCAACATGTATATGTCAATGGAAAGCAATACAGCAGTGTGTGCGAGCGTCGACTGGCGATTCAGCGTGCTTGGACCTCAATCGATGGGGACTACCTTGCCAAGCTCATTGCATCCATGCCACGTCGTTGTAGACTAGTTCTGGAGGCAAAGGGGCCCAAAACGAAGTATTAGTATGTGTTTTTTACCATACTTTATATAGTCATTTTACCCAAAATTTGGACTTTAGTGCTGAATCTATCGATCGATTATTTGTACTGAATTTTGTATGTAAAAAGGTCTCCTGCTGTGATTAGCTTCATACTAATTGAAGTCACACTAATTTGACGTTGATGATGGTTTCCTGCAATCTGATTAGCTCAATTCTTCTGCCGATTCTTCTGTACATTTGGTTGTGTCGATTCATTCTCCATGTTGCTCCAGTTTAGAATAAACAATAATAGTACGCTGTGTTTTCTTTGATAGTTGGGATCCTATTGTCCACTCCTCAATACGGTATTTGGACAATTCAAAGTGCAGCTTATCAGATCAATATATTCTAAAGTACCCGTTCAACATCCAATTAAAACGAAGAGAATGGTATAACGTAACGAGTCAATTTATGGACATGCGCCAATTTATGGACAGGGTGCACCAGCCAATCTGAATTTATTTCTGTGTGCGATATTGGGTTACAAAAGTATTTCAGTATTAGAGTAAGTTGAACTTGATTTTGATCAAAGAGAATGAATTATCCGAATAGTAGCGAAGGCGCGAGCACCATGGCGCGAAAATCTGAAGCTCATTAAACAGAAAAAGCAAGGTGAAATAGGCAATTTTGTATGCTGCGCAAGGTGAACCACCATGCGAATTCCATAAATAATTCTGAAATTGTATGATTTTAAAACAGTATAAATTGTATTTCTTTTTTTTGTATAGTTTCAATTAAATATATCTTCAAGTTTGTATTCTTGATTTTTATTTTTCATGTATCTGTCTGTTTTTGGAATTCGCAAGGCAGGTGGGTACGACCCCGACGGCGTGATCGAATACGAGCACTGGCCCTGGTCCAATATGTGACGGAGGTACCGCAGCAGCTTGGCGCGCACACGTTCCGATTCCAAGGTCGGACCAACCGCTTGGTTGATCATCGCATCGACTTGGTGGAGGGCGGGACAGCCCAGGATCGACGGGTTGAGTAGCCGCATACACCGCTCCATGCCTCATCACGCCTTGTTGTGATACATTCTACTCCTGTGATGACTTTTGATGCAAGGAGAATTTAGATAATTATGTAACGTTAGGCTGTATATGAGAGCAAGATCATGTGATGTGGTATTCAGGACTCGGTCAATTCTACCAGGTCTCAATTTACCACTTGCCTACTAACCCAATGAAATTGGTCATCCCTCATTCCACCATCCAGCCCGTGTCGGTACCGAACATCTCCCTGCCGGTGTGATCACGTGGTTGCGCAGGCGGTGGCGCAAGACGTCTTGATTGCACCCATCGCAAGTGCTGAAGTGGCGGCTTTAGCACTTGGCGATGGGTGCTACCAAGACCTCTTCCTCCACCGCGTTGGCCCACCAGAGCCACCACGACATTGCAATCCACACAAGATAGCTGTAGTGACGGTGATGATCCTGATGACGCCGTACCATTTCTGAGCCTACTTGGTGGTCAGGGCGTTGACATTGCGGCTCATTCCTGGACGACGTGGTCGAAATGGTGGAATTGTAATTGACTGAGTTAAGTTGTCGTTTAAATTCTATATCCTTTGATTTCTTATATATACTGTGGCATCTTATATTTGTTTCCGTTGGAAAACTTCGAATCAAACGAACTTTTACTATAGTCAAATTAAGTATAATGTACCCTGTCCATAAATTGGCGCATCTCGTCCAATGAACAATCAAAACTTCAAAGCCACCTAACTGCTGTAATACCTCCTTAAACTTGATGAAACAAGTTCCATTCGATCAATCAACCTAAGCTTTATGGGGATATAAAATGATCAAAAAATAGATAAAATTTGCAACATTTGCAACATATTTTCGAGCTATCTTCGACAAAAAAGGTGTCCATAAATTGCCTCGTTACGTTATTCCTCAAGTCTCTACGCTATATTGGACAAAATTAAACCCAGATAAACGGGGTGGCTGGACCTGCTGGCCAGCACTGTAGTAACATCTACTAACTGACCTCTGCTAACAAATGCAGGCGGTTGAAAAAACTGATTGAAGTTCTCGTCTGATTGGCTAGAAAATTGGTGGTTAATGTGCACAGAGCTTGATAAGCCAATAAGCCAGGTAATTTTAGCTTGCTTTTTTATATTTTCTGTTTTGCCCCATGGCAACAGAGCATACAAAACCCAAGACAAATCTGTCAAATGACCAGCGCTCGGCTCTCTACCACACCTTGCTCAAACGAAGTACCAATGGGGTGCTTTCTGGCGCTGACATGCTCGACGTATGTGCTTCATTCCATGTGAACCAGTTGACTGTATGGCGTATCTGGAAGCGGGAAAACGGCCCTGCAGCAGCTGGCCCATGTGCCGACATCTGCTCCCGAAAGCAACAGACTGGACGCAAAAAAACGTATCTTATCCAAGAGATAGAGCGCAGGATCAAAGCAGTGCCTCTTGCTAAGCGGCAGACGTTTCGGGCGTTGGCAGCAGCAACCGAGCTATCGACTTGGACGCTCTGGAATTACGACAAGTAGCGTTACCTCACGCGCCGATCAAGCTGGACACGCCCGCTTTTGTCCGACGACCACAAATGCCAATTCTTGGTGTTTTGCAACCGCTTTCTTGACCACGATGGTACTAACACAATGAATGAAATGTTTGATGTCGTTCATATCGATGAGAACTTGTTTTTCATGACCAAACTCTAACGCAAGTTCTACCTTTGGCACGACGAAGCAGCACCGCCACGGTTCTTACAGTCGAAGGACCACATCACGAAGGTGATGTTCCTTGTCGCAGTTGCACGTCCACGTGGGAGTTGGGATGGCAACGTTGACTGCTGGCCGCTTGTGGAGGCGATATTGACACGTCGCAGTAGCTGGAATCGTCCAGCCGGAACTGAAGTGGTCACTTCTCTTACGGTGACGCATATCGGGAATACCTGTTGACGAAGGTGCTTCCTGCAATCAAGAGCAAGTGGGTGTGGCCTGAAGACGAAGCTCCAACAGATGTGTACGTGCAGCAAGACAACGCGCGCCCGCATGTGTCTGTGTCCGATGCCGGGGGACATCGATTTATCGGGGGACAGTGCAATGGCTGGGCCATCAAGATAATCAACCAACCTCCCAAGTCTCCTGACCTCAACATTTTCGACCTCGGATTTTTCAACGCAATCCAGTCCCTGCAACAAACCAATGAATGCAAGACAGTTGAAGACCTCATTCGTGTAGTGCGTTGTTGGTTTGTGGAGCTTCGAGCGGCGACGTTGGCGATGACGTTTGGCACTTTGCAACGAGTGGTGAAGGCGTGTGTTGAAGCTGGTGAAAGCAATGTGTTCAAGATTCCAAGTAGCAAGGATGGTGCCGACATATCGGCACTGGATTTGATGCACGTTCGCCTGGAGCAAGTAAAACGCATGGACGATCTGTGTGGTCTACTCGAGTCATGCAGTGTAGATATTTAGTAGTACGAAGTAGTACGATTATCTATACTTGTTATTTGTATGTACCTGAATGCTGGCCTGCATTTGTTACCAAACAGAGGTAGTATAATTAACTGTAAATACAATTATCCTATTATAGTGTTTTATTCGGTAAAGTACTGTGGGGTACATACTGTTAAAAGTGCAATTGGACTCAGATTATGGACCAGAGTAGTATGCAGCTGTAGCTGAGGGATCCACTCTAGTACTCTTTCTTCCCTATGTAATACAACACCTCTATAGGAGGCCGGTTCATAGTTGAAAACTAAGGTGGCCATTAGTAAGTCGTGTACTGGACAGTAGACAGTCGCCTTGGACATGGTTGGCTAATACAGGTACTCTGAAAGCTAAATACTACTACTGCATCCATTTCTACTACTGTAACGTTACATCTACAATATCTGACAATCAGAGATTGGGCAGAACATAGCACAAGTTGTTCTACTACTAACAGTAACGAAAAATGTTGCATTTTTCCAGATATTGTGCGTTTGGATGGCACCAAAGTTCAAAATATTACTATTAATAGTATGCCACATTTTCATGAGAATTTATACAAGTACTCTGTAAGCTAAGTGCTATTGTGCTTTGCAACTTATTTGGCAGTCATATTTAGACCCCTACTCAGCATCGAATCACTTAGATTTCTGTCAACATACATGCTAAAAATGGGATAGATTAAGAATTATTATGGGTCAGCATGATAGTGCTTGCTTGCAATTGCTTCCCATCCGAGCGGGTTAATTGGTTCGTTCCGTGGTTTCACAGTCAGTTGAACGTAAAAGTGGTCGTACCATCGATACACAGAACGGGTCGACAATTCAAGCAGAAGATAGACGTCTGTAGGCTCCAGTCCATACACAAAACGCAAGATGCATCTCCATCGAATGTCCTTGCTATGCGTCAATCTAGCGGACTTACGAAACGTTATTCCTTGTTGGTACTATATTCATGCTAAACAGAATAACAAGCCATAGCCCAGAACTGCAGTTTGAAACAGCAATTTGGGAATGAAAGTGATAAATCTGGGGGCACCAATTCACTTCGACTTCGCATCTGGGCCGAATAACGACTAATCGGCTGCATTGCCAGATTTATGTCTGTTCCAACGTCGTGTAAATTGGCAGATTTGAGGTCGATTATGCCAAATAAGTTGCAAAGCACAATACTACTGTATTACATCCATTTCTACTAACATTAGATCTACAATATCAGCCTATCAGAGGTTGTCGAGAACAGTAGCACAAGTTGTGCTGCTATTAATAGTAACGAAATGTCCATTTTTCCAGATTTTGTGCGTCTGGATGCCACCAAAGTTCAAAATACTCTCCCACAATTTTCTTGAGAATCGGGTTTTTATGGCATAGAAAAAATGGATCGATTTGGTTCAACTTTTTTATGGAGGTTTGCGTACATGTTGAAGTCTTGCAATTCACAGAAATCGAATCATATTTTCAAAATATCAGCTGGCATTCAGACAACTTTGTAGATACTACTTCTCTATATTTATTCATGGGATACGAGATTTGGGAATGTTTTGCAGATTTGCCAAAATGGTTTATGGCATAGTTTAAGATGGTGGCATTCAGTACATCCCTAAAAAATAATACCACTTCGTCCCAAATCACTGACACGTTTGATGTTTGCCACATAGCGGTTTTATAACCAAACATTGGATTTGTGTGAAATTTGTACCAATCAAAAGAGAAGAAACTTGGCTATAAGGCCATATAATTATATGGTGCATTTCATCTAAAGAATACAGATCGGCCATTATCAGGAGGAGACGTTTTACTATTAAACGCCTAAGTTATTTCAGTTAAACCCCCGTAATGTTGACGTTAAATTATTTTTACTTACGTTTTTTATCTGGTAAATAGGTTAAACATCCTGAATAATCCGGATACAATGGAAACGTTCATACGGATAAGTGCTGTATACAAAGACCAAGATATACTTGATGCTCCTTTTCGGCCAAAATGTGCCTTGCTCCATATATTTCCGTACAAAAAGGCTGGTTGGTTTAAATTCTATTACTCGATCAATTTTTCACCAATCGAAATTTTGAACCGTAAGTTCTGTTGGTCTTGACCAGTTCTATCGTTATTACGGCTTATTTTCCTAAAAAATATCAATACAAAGTTGGAATAGCTGTCGAAAGACAAGGCATTTTTTTGTAGTCTTTAGTTGAAATGCACCATATTGCCATTCTTCCAAAAACTGCATGTGTATTCTTCAAATAAAATCAGCCGCTCAACCCAAAATTTTCAAATGTTCACCGGACTTTATGAGTGTATGGAGATTGTCTCAAATATATCGAAAACAAGAGGGTCTTCGGCTGTATAATTTAATTCCAGGAAGGTGTCAATGTCCCCTAAATGTACAGTACCTCCTTGTGATTGACTCAACAGTACTGGATAAGGTAATATTTTTAATAAAATTGATTATTTTCTAATTTCACAACTAATAGAATGTCCAAACGTGTCAGTGATTTGGGACAGAGTGGTACCTTGCTAGCGCCAAGCAAAATAGACTACGTTGT